TTATTATTATTATTGTTATGTTTAACGAACGCTGTATTTGTGTTGCAAGTGGCGTAAAACTCTTAGTAAAACTAGAACAACGAGGGAGCTTGGTGTGTTCGCCTCCAATATTTGACAGTTATATGACCTATTTGTGTTGCAAGTGCCGTAAAACTTTGAGTAGACCTAGAACTAACACCTCACTGTGTGTGTCGTACAGGCAAGTACTCTGTGTGTGTCGTACAGGCAAGTACTCTGTGTGTGTTGTACAGGCAAGTACTCTGTGTGTGTTGTACAGGCAAGTACTCTGTGTGTGTTGTACAGGCAAGTACTCTGTGTGTGTTGTAACACCTCACTGTGTGTGTGTCGTACAGGCAAGTACTCTGTGTGTGTTGTAACACCTTGCTGTGTGTGTGTCATACAGGCAAGTACTCTGTGTGTGTTGTAATATCTCGCTGTGTGTGTGTCATACAGGCAAGTACTCTGTGTGTGTTGTAATATCTCGCTGTGTGTGTGTTGTACAGGCAAGTACTCTGTGTGTGTTGTAACACCTCGCTGTGTGTGTGTTGTACAGGCTAGTACTCTGTGTGTGTTGTAACACCTGGCTGTGTGTGTGTTGTACAGGCAAGTACTCGGAGTACATCCAGACCCACCTGGAAGACCTGCGGGCCAAGTGTGATCACCTCCTGGGGTGCATCAACAAACTTCTGCAGGGGGAGAGTCCACTGGTCGTGCTCAAGGGAGACAACATCAGCCTCAACAAGATCTGTGGGTGAGTCCGACCAGCTTGTGGCAGTAACCCCCCCATCTAGCCCCATGATCCAACACAAGTCATTGGAGCTTGTGGCAGTAACCCCCCCATCTAGCCCCATGATCCAACACAAGTCATTGGAGCTTGTGTTAGTAACCCCCCCATCTAGTCCCATGATCCAACACAAGTCATCAGAGCCTGTGTTAGTAAATCCCCATCTAGTCCCATGATCCAACACAAGTCATCGGAGCCTGTGGCTGTAACCCCATCAGTGCTTTCTTGTCCTACCTACATTTTTTTAAACAGTGAAAACACTGCATAACAATGAGTGAGCTGAAGAAGAAGTCACATTTTCTTTGTAACAGAAAAATGGAGATATATGACAAAAAAGCAATGAGGTCGCGCCATCTGACCCCATGCTCCAACATTAGACATCCCGGCTTGTGTCAGTAAATCCCCATCTGACCCCATGCTCCAACATGAGACATCCCAGCTTGTGTTAATAAATCCCCATCTAACCCCATGCTCCAACATTAGACATCCCAGCTTGTGTCAGTAAATCCCCGTCTAACCCCATGCTCCAACATTAGACATCCCAGCTTGTGTCAGTAAATCCCCATCTAACCCCATGCTCCAACATTAGACATCCCAGCTTGTGTCAGTAAGTCCCCATCTAACCCCATGCTCCAACAGTGGTGAGGCGCTCTGACATTGTCAGTTACTTCTTGGATTTTATCCCTAGCGACATAATGTTGATTTATCGGCCGATATCTCCTTTCACAGATTGCGAGAAGTAACTCATTCTGTCAGCGTGCTTCACAACTTTTATGCGGGTGGTTGGAGGGTGCCTTCATACAGCCTGTTCAATGAATTCATGTCTAGATGGGTTTTTTTCTGTAATCAAATGGTTAAAAAAATTAATTATGTGAAATAATTCCCTCAGTGAGCTGACTGTCACATGATTCTCTCAGAGATGAGTCTAGAATGTCGATTTTGGACATTTTGTCTTGTAGATTTCTCAACACTGCAGGGAGATTTATAGGAATGAGTGTTGTTATTGGATCACGGGCGTCGGTGGCCTAGTGGTTAGGCTCTCGGACTCGCAACCGTAAGGTCGTGGGTTCGAATCCCGTCAAGGACCCGACGTTGTGTCCTTGGGAAAGGCACTTTGCACAAATTTTCCTCACTTCACCCAGGTGGAAATGGGTACCCAGCTATAGACAGTGAAAGATCTTGTCAGTTTGATAGTGTTTGAGCGCGGGAAATCCGCAGCTTGCACTGTATGCTTCCGCGGAAGCTGAGAATGTTTGTGAGTGTTCTCAG